AGCAAGCTCGAACTGGCGGTCCTCCAGAACGTCACTGCCGAGGGCAGGAGCACCCCCGGCAGACGGAGGACAGGCAGGGTCAGAGACCAGAGCGGTGGCGTAGTCAAGGCGGCGGGTAGCGGCGAAGTCAGCGACCGCAGCAACAAGAGCGTCAAGACACGAGACCGGAACGGACGGGTCGGAAACGAGAGAGGCGAGGACCCGAGGAACAAGAGGACGAGCGGCACGAAGGTAGTCAGACAGAGGAGGAGGCGCAACGGTAAGAGAGGACGGAGGAGGCGACGGTAGAAGGGGAGGACGAGACGCGTGGGAACGAAGCAACATAGGGTGAGAGCGTGGGACAGGGGAGACAAGGCGAGCACGGGAGGGACGGCGAGACCAGACGTGAGACGGAGGCGTCGGGTCAGGAGACACGGGAGGGGACACAGGGGGGGAGCGAAGGGGAAGACGAGCCGGGGAAGAGTACGGGGGAGGGAACACAGGGCCGTAGATAGGAAGAGGGGGAGATGGCAGGAGAGGAACAGACGCAGGGTCAGGGGACGGAAGGCCGAGCAGGCAAAGGGCCGACACCGATGGGGACTGCTGCTGCAGCGGCTCAACACCGACACTAGGACTGCAAGCTGCTCCTCGGCTACCTCCGGGACACTCCACGCCTGCACCCCCAGAAGGAACACCCCCAGAGCCCGAAACCCTGCGAGCACCGGTACCACCCCCAGGGCCACCAAGACACGCCACGACAGGAACCCCAGGACGAGCACCCACCCCAACGCGAGCATCCCCAGAGTCAACGAACTGCTGCTGCGACGGCGGCGGCGGCTGCAGCGGGAACGACGGGTGCGGCGGCGGCGGCGATGGAGACGACGGCTGCAACAGCAGAGGCGACGGCGGCTGCAGAGGCTGTGGAGGAGGAGACACCTGGGGGGGGGGGCAGGCGGCGAGGAATGCGCCGCAGGACCACCAGAGTCAGAAGACTCCTCAACCGGGACAACCGACGGGAGAGGAGTGACGTGGGACACACCAGAGGGGGCAGGACGGGGAGGGGGAGGGGGGGGGCAGGGACCACCGCGGAAGGAGTGGCCAGGAACAGGGGGGGAGTAACAGGGGGACCGCGGTGGGGGAAGCGACGGTAGAAGGAGACAGACTCGTCAAAGGTGACGTCGCGAGAGTGAAAGAACCGGTGAGACGGCGGGTGGTAGAAGTGCCAGTCAGACGTGCCAGAGGCACGAACGTGAGCAAGGCAGAGGCACACGTAGAACGCAAACGCGTCACCAGGAGACCCGGTCCAAAGAAGGGTCGGCAAAACCTGCGGCCGCTGGGGGTGCGGCCACAGGTTAAGTTGGTGAGCAGCGTAGCGCACGGCGAACGGCCACAGAAAATGGGGTGCACGGGCATGGATCATGGAGGTGCGAGCCACCTCCGTGACCAAACCGATGCGTCGCTCAGCGACCCCATTCTGCTGCGGGGAGTCTGGCAGGGTGAACGTCTGGGTGATGTCCTCCGCACGATAGAAGCGACCAAGGACACCTGAGGCAAACTCGCCACCACGGTCGGAGTGAAGACGCAAGACAGGGAGACCTCGGTGGACACGCGCAGAGACAAGCCAGGGGATGAGAGCGTCAGGCACGTCGGCCTTCCGCTCCAGGGGAAAGACTCTGGTGTAGCGAGTGAATCCGTCGACAAGCACAAGGAAGTAGCGCTCTCTATGCGGCCCATGGACGGGGGCGGGGCCCCAGACGTCCATGTGCAGGGTCTGCAGCGGCGCAGCGGTAGGGGGAAACGAGGAGGAGTGAGGGGCACGGCGAAGCTGAACCTCGACACAAGGCGTGCAAGGCGAGGCGGGGGAGGAGGGAAAAGCTGGGAACGAACCAGGGAGACCAAGGACGAGACCGTGCTGGGACATGTGACGCGGACGCGGGAGCGCAGGGTGACCTAGGCGGTGGTGCCAAAGGAGAGTCGGGTGGGTGAGGGACCGACAGGAGCAGGCAGCAACAACCTGGGAAGACACATCCACCGGGGGGGGCGCCCCAGCCGGGGGGGTCACGGTGTCCAGGGTGAACAGGCCGGACACCGGGTCCCGGGGGAACGTGGACAGGGAGGCACCAGTGGCGGCCTCGGTACAGACATCATACCGCTCGTGACCAGGGAACGTAGTGGTGACGCCAAGGTCCTGGAGGCAGCCGACACCAACTAGGTTCCTGGAGAACGAGGGGATATGCAGACCTGTGAGAGAGCCCGAAGGAACCGCCGGACATGGAAGGGTGGTGGAACTGCGAGCGGCGACCGGACCGCCGGAGGGGTCAGCAAGAAAAACTGCAGCAGGAACAGGAAGCGGCGTCAGCGTAGTAGAGTCGCGGAAGAAACACCGGGAAGCGCCAGAGTCCAAGGTGAAGGATAGCGAAGCAGTGGTGTCTGGCGACGGGGCGACGGCGGAAGCACCAAGGCTAAACAAAGCAGGAGCTCCTACGCCTGACGCAGCAGGGAAGGCTAAGCTAGGCACACCTACACTAGGCGACAAGGAATAATAAGAGGGGAGCACACTAGAGTCATCAGCATACATCACATGCAGGGCAGAAACAATGGCATCCATGTCCATGTCTTAAATCTGAACTCTACGACTAAGCAAACTGTGCCAGTCCGGGAGGTCGGGCGACGGGCCGAAGCGCTGACGAAACAGGCGGTACAGGCGACGAGAACAGCGGGCAGTGGTGTGACCGATCTTAACGCAAACGTTCCTCCTTACGTTCCTAGATCTACTTTCCTCCCGTCATTTCATGGCGTCCTTTCCTAGTATCCTAGCTGCCTAGTCAACTAGTGTCTTGAGTTTCTAAGAATAACGCCTCGCTACCCATTGGGTCAAAACGAGGTACCCAGAGGTGCAGCGGAATGCGTGTACAATCACTAGGGTAATTTCCGTCAGCAGACGTTACATCACCCTAGTTTCAATTGTCTAAGGACCCAATTTCTTTTTGTTACATATGGTTCACTCACTCATTCATGGGTGCTCCACCCTTGCTGCAGTTCCTCACCAGTCTTCCAGAGCTGCATTCGCGAGCCGCTGCGCTCCATGGCGGGCGCTTCAGCTGCGCTGAATGGTCTGCATTCGCATGCTATATACAATCTTAACAAGGCTTTCCTTGGGGAAGGTAGATATATGGAGCCTAACCCTCCTGTCACATCCCTTCTTATCCCTGTGGTTAGGACTGGTGACTTTATGACAATAATTTGTATATGTTACAGGCTGGCTAGGTGCATTCTTATATAGAGTACAACCCCTATGGTTATATCCCCTTGTACCACCTCATTCCAGTTACTCGTTCTAATCGAAGATAAGGTACCAGAAGTATCGTTGGTGGTGGTGGACAATGTGCCAGTGGACGAGCCTAGTGGCAGACGTGCTACTGACCAGGTGAGACCATGAGGGGGGAAGCGAGGGAGGGAGGAATGGAAGGAACGGAAGGAACGGTACGCGATAGGGTTGCATTACCCTCACCCAAACCACTCCTTACTCACCCAACCCACACCCGCTGGTCCAAACCCACCAACCCCCTCACCCTACCTGCATTGCACTCTCTCCACGCACACGCACTCCCACCACGCCCACCACTCACCCTCCCACCACGCCCACCACGACGACCACGCCAACCAGTCCCAGCTATTCGTGCCAACACCTCTAGGCAACCCTTACTACAGCACAAACGGCCAATTACTCCCAGGCCACGCGCAATGCCCTCCTCGCAGGCACAGCACGTCGCCATGAGTCGCCACCCCCCTCAGCGTCGTCTATGGTCCGGCCGAATATGCGGCGGTGATGGGGGATTACACCGTGCCTTGGGACGCTCTGAAATGCTCTGGACACGCTAACATACGTATCACCTGTAGCCTGTATCAGCTCTAGCCGCATAACAGGTGTCTGGTGCAAACGCTTCCTCCCCCCACACCTACACGCGGCATACGTAGCTGCAGACGAGAGCTACGGGCACCAGAAAGTACAGGCGTGCAAGTGCTAAGTGCAAATGCTAAGTGGAAGTGTAGTCGTGCACGTGCAAGTCATCTCACAACGACAACCAGCTGCGGAGACGAGCTGCGATGACTGCGGCAGTGCCACTACCGTGCAGGCGAGCTGAAGGAACGCTATCGGCGAGCTATGGGCGAGCTACGGGCAAGCTACAAGCGAGCTACAGGCGAGCTACAAGCGAGCTACAGGCCGATCTCCGTCTCCTGCAACCTCCCAGCTCTCGTCACTGCCGCACGAGCGGGGCTCTATTAGCTAAGAGACTCCTCATGAATCACCGCTCACCTCCACCTACCTCCCCCTCCCTCTCCCCCTCCTTGCTGCCAGCTCGTCCCAACCTGCCAACCCCCACTGGCAACCCCTGCTAGTCCTTTGCCAACCATCCGCACTACTAGACCACTTCCCTCTACCACTCTGCCCTCCCGCACCTCTCTCCGACTCAGTTCACCCTCCCGTCCCCCGCCCTTCACACCCTTTCCACCTTCCATTCATCCCCCAAACCCCCACCTCCCTCCCTCTCCCTCTCCACCCCCCGGACAACCCCACCCCCACCCCCCCACTCCCTCTTCCCCCCGACTGACTGAGAAATGCTGACTGCAGCGAACACGGGTAACATACGCGAGACGCGAAACATGCTTACAGGGCAGGGGAGCGGGAGAAGCGGCGGGGAGACGAGACGCGCAGAACGACAGGCGGGACGACGCGACACAAGACGCGACGCACAATGCAGGAAGGGCCGGACACAGGGAGGGCGGGGAGCGGAAGGCTGGGGGATACTGGGGCGGAAACGAGCGGATGGAATGGGTTGGGGGGAGGAAAGGACTTTTGTGGGGGGGGGGGGGAGGGGGGGGGAGAGGGAGGGGGGAGGGTGGGGATTGAGATATAGGGGATAGGATAACGGAGATAAGGGTGGCGGATTATGGTGAGAGGGAGAGATAAAGGGGAACATGGGTATCGTGTGAATGTGATGGTTGGTTAGATTGTCGCTTTGTATTGATGGGTTAACCAGAATGTCACATGTCACTGTGTTTCGCTGTGAAGCACCGCTAGGAACGTCATTGGTATCACAGAACGAAGGAAGAACGTAGGAAGAAACTCACGAGGAATAAACGCGCACTGACACACGTACACACACGCACAAGCTCACTAGCGCACACGCACACCCGAGGGGTCACGAGCCGGAGCACGCATGAAGGGAGTGAAGCTTATAGCCAGTAAAGAGAAGCTCATTACCCAATCTGCACACGACACGTGGTAAGCGCTGCACGCGGTGGCTCGAGCCAAAGACAAGGAGTCCATTGCGCGTAAGAGACTGACCACTGGCTTCATCCCAAGAGACTGCCTTCCTCCCAAAAGATCCATCAACGCTACTACTGCGACTACAACACCCCTACTCCACCTACCCAGCCTCGGCTGCTCCCCGCATCCATCTCCAAGCCATGCAGCAGCAGCAGCAGCGGCTACTGCTGCCTCTACCCCAAACGCAATAGCACCTACTGCCTAGGCGCCACGCCTGCCGCCACAACCAACGCATCCACGCCTATTGCCGCCACCCCAATTGACTCCCCCGCAGCTCCAGCGCAAGCAGACTCTGCTCTCTTGAGCCCCACCACAAGCACAGCACAGCACGCCACTTGTCCGACCCGATCCCAACTGCTTCGAACCGATGCGAGCCCGATCAGAACCTGGCGAAGCCTGGATAAGAAAAGCGACTCTCCCAAGACGACGAGTCTTTCAACCGCGCGCGGGCGCGTCTCTAATTGGCGGGAATCTCGATTTCGCCGTCGTCGATCTCTTGCTGCACGTCCTTGGGGCTCTTGCCGTCCACCGTGCATCCCACCGACACGCACGTGCCAAGGATCTCCTTCACCGTGCCGGTCAACTCCTTCGCGATCGACCGTGGCCGCATCACGCGGGCCACCTCGATGACGTCATCCATGGAGATATTTCCGTTGTGCTTGATGTTCTTCGTCTTCTTGCGGTCGCGCTCCGGCTCCTTAAGCGCTTTAATCACCAGCGCCGCAGCGCTAGGGACGACCGACACCTTCGCCTGGCGGTTCTGAACCGTCAGCTTAACGGTCACGCGAAGCCCCTTCCACTCCTTAGCGGTCTCCTTAGCGATATCTTCTCCGATCTTTTTAGGCGATAGACCGAGCGGGCCGATCTTAGGGGCGAGCGAGGACGCGGCACCGACTTCGCCGCCGGTCACGCGGACGAAAACGTCCACGATGGCCGTGGGGTCCATTTTGGGCGGCATGGTGGCGAATTACGGGGGAATTAGGAGGAGGGGGGAATAAGTTGACGGGCTACTACGGTCCCGAGACGCTAAAAGGAGGGGTTGGGTAATGCTACACGCCTTTATCTGGGATAAAGTAAGGCGAGTCCTACCCTCCAGAGGAAACAGACGCTGCTAGGGGAACAGGAGTGGGACAGAGGGAGATATTGAGGGGGGAGGGGAGGGATGCGCGGGGGTCAGATGCGGTGCAGAAAACCACATGGGTGTGTGGAAGTTACACCAGCACGACTGGCTGAATGCTTCTCATGGGGGCTGGGTGGCGCAGTGTGTCTCAAGCTGTTCAGACTTGCTGTGTTCGGGGGTTTTGTCATCAGGGTTTAGAGATGTCGGCATTTGGGCCTTTGTTTTTCCTCCACCCTTGAACCCTCGAGGAGAATTTGGATAGAACTAGTTATGGCTACACTCTAGGGTCCGTGATTCTGTAAGTTCATTTGCAATTAGCTACCCCGACAACACACGCTGGAGCTTCCCAAAACGAGGATTTCGGTCCAGCCTGAATATCGGCAATTTTGGTCGAATCTGCGTTCGCCCTCCTGGCAATTCCCTCCACTGACGTCATTTCAACACTTCTGAGCCTCCTTCGAGTTGAGGTTGACCAGTCGTAAGCGACCACGATCTCGCCACCTTCGCCAGCCAGCGCACCAGCCTCCTCTCTGCGTCAACCACAGCCACCCAACAACACCCAGTAGCAGGTGTACTAGCAATCGGACGGCTCATGCACGCAATTAGGTTGCCACCTCAGCAAGGGATTGTAGCGAAGGGCAGTGCTGGGTTTGAAGAGCTTCCGAGCCTCCCTCCGTCCTCATCCTCCCGTGCCATATCCCAAAAATCGAACCATTTATATCCTCCTTCCTCATCCTTCCCGATCAACTGGCTACATTCCCTCTCTGACTCACATTCTAGGTGTCTTCTTCTCTCCCAGCTCTGCTCAGCATTGGGGTCATCATTTTTTTTGTTGGGTTTGTTGAGCCCGCTCTGTCTGAGCATACTAGGGAATACCGTTGTCTACCGAAGTTTTGGTTGCTAATTCGACTGGTCATGTGACACTTGGTTCCTGCTCCTTAGTGGAAGCCGACGTGAATCCGTGACACGAATTGGTCATCCATCATCGCTGGCCGAGGCTTGTGAGATTCGACTTTGGGACCGGGTACCTTGACACCATGATTTCCAGCACTCTTAGCTCGTCACGTGTCTCAGTTCAGGCGGTCTTATTGAAACCACTGTCATTTTCCGCTTCTCCCCGCGTTCGCTCCGTCCTATTCAACCCTCTATCCCTTAGTCACCTCTCCTCGAAGCCCCGTCGTTCCAGCCACAAAAGTCCAGCATTCGTCTGTCTCCTAGGACGTACACCAGTACCGTATCCTAGCTCCCAACCTGCTTCCCAACTAAGCGCGAAACCTTCAAGAGATGTCAAGGTCCCCGCGTTTTCGGCCGCTGGATCTGATCTTAACGGCGAGCATGTGAACCATGAGGAGGATTTAGCAAGCACCGATCGATCATCTGGCAGCAAGGAAAGGGGAGGCAGTGCCCAGAACGGGCTGCCGCTGAACAAGGCTGAGAATACAGCCTTGACGCGTCGTACGGACGGGCAAACAGGTTCGTCTTGTGCGCTCATGCCGCTGACTTTCCTCCCGCTTCCTTTTCTCTCTCGCTCTCTCGCTCGCTCACCCTCTCTCGATATCTCCCTCCCGTATCCTCACTTGCCGTCTTTCCCGCCCGCGTCTCACTCACGCCATCTCGCTCTCCAGGGCCTCTGCACTCTGTTTCCCCCATCCTTCGCCCATCCTCTCACCTCAACTCACGATTTTCAATTCTGACCCCCGCTCGACCCAACACATCAGATCCCTTCACCTACGCCCTCCGTTGGATGCGCATCAGCACGGCAGCCGGTATCTGGCTCGCGCTCCTCCTCCCTCTGCTTCCTTTTCCCCCGTATCCACTATAACCCGCGGCTTCCAATCCAATCCTCACTCCGCTCCTCCCCTCCCCTCCCCTACCCTCAAATCCCTTGACCAACGCCCTCCGTCGGAGGCGCATCAGCATGGCAGCCAGGATCTTTTAAGCCGACTCAATTCTTTCTATCCTGACTCCCCCCTCGCCCCACCCCCTCAGATCCCTTCACCTACGCGCTCCGTTGGATGCGCATCAGCACGGCAGCCGGCATCTGGCTCGCGCTATTCTTCGCCTCGTGCCTCAATCGCGACGACTCAGGCGCCGGAGGAACCCCTAGCGCCTTCCCTGTGCCCGGGAGGACTCGCGGTGGCAGCGGAGGGAGTAGGAATGTCTCCAGCCGCAACAGCATCACCAACAGCAGCAGCAGCAGCAGCAGCAGCAGCGCGTTCATTGGCGGCTCGGGCAGCTGAGATGGGTGAGTGGTTCTTGATGGTGGATATTACACGCGTGGGGAGCAACAAGGGTTGAGCCACTGATCGACCAGCGAGGAGGTGGTGGAGTATTTGCGGCAGCAGTGGCAGTTGTTGCAGCACTGGTGGCACTGGGGCCAGCGACAGTGGTTGTGTTGTGGTGGCGGTTGGCGCATTCTTTTGTGTGTGATATGCGAAGTTGTTGGATAATGGAGGGACAGCAGCACACATCTGAGCTGTCCGGAGTGGGATTCCCCTTGAACAAGGCCTGTGGTGGGATGATGGTGGCATTATCGTGCGTGGTGGTGGTGTACAGGGTCCGCTGCAATTGCAATGATAGCTGTACAGTACGGGAATGATCGGGTGAAGTGATGGTGCTTTTGTCAACATATATTTGTATATGTTATTGGCTAGATAGTGCATGCTCATAGAGAGTATAACTCCTTTGGACAACACCACCCTGTATCACCCCAACTAGTCCATTGCTTCATTCTGAGATGATATTGCACTAGGTTAGGTCCAGGGCTCTTAGTAGGCTCTAGGCACTTGCTAGGCCATCAGATGGGCCTGGAGGACCTGTCTGATGATCAGACGATATATTTTCAGTTTCTGAAAAATCTGACGAAAGGTAGTGCAGTTTCTATTTTTTCAGAAGTTCCTAAGGTAATTTCAATTTCTAAGCTAACCTACAAGGGCCATATTAAAGCCCCAAGTTAAAATAGCTAAGACAGACATAATTTGAAAAGGAAAGCTGTCAAACATGTGTATTTGTCATGTTTGTATAGACTGTATAGGGTCGCCTCTTAGAGAGTACAACACTTAGGTATATCTGTGTGTACTCTCACTCTATCTATTATTCACTTCTCAATTCTGATATGGTATCACGCGTAGGTAGGATCCCCCCCCACCTACCGTTTCCGCTCACCCCTCTAGCCCCTAGCCCCTTCGCGCCCCATCCTGGGCCCTGTAGCGCCCCTCCTGGGCCCCGTCGCACCCCTCACTGAGGCCCCGTCGCGCCCCTCCTGGGCCCCGTCGCGCCCTTCCTGGGCCCTGTAGCGCCCCTCCTGGGCCCCGTCGCGCCCCTCCCAGGCCCCGTCGCGCCCCTCCTGGGCTCCGTAGCGCCCCTCCTGGGCCCCGTCGCGCCCCTCCTGGGCCCCGTAGCGCCCCTCCTGGGCCCCGTCGCGCCCTTCCTGGGCCCTGTAGCGCCCCTCCTGGGCCCCGACGCGCCCCTCCTAGGCCCCGTAGCGCTCCTCCTGGGCCTTGTCGCGCCCCTCCTGGGCTTCGTAGCGCCCCTCCTGGGCCCCGTCGCGCCCCTCCTGGGCCCCTGTAGCGCCCCTCCTGGGCCCCCGTCGTGCCCCTCCTGGGCCCCGTAGCGCCCCTCCTGGGCCGCGTCGAGCCCCCCCCCTCCTGGGCCCCGTCACGCCTTCAGGCCCCGTCGCGCTCGCCCGGCCCCGTCGCCCCAGCCCGGCCCCGTCGCACCAGCCCGGCCCCGTCGCACCAGCCCGGCCCCGTCGCACCAGCCCGGCCCCGTCGCACCAGCCCGGCCCCGTCACGCCCGCCCGGCCCCGTTGCACCCGCCCGGCCCCGTCGCCCCCTGCCCAGCCCCGTCGCAGCCGCCCGGCCCCGTCGCACCCGTCCGGCCCCGTCGCGCCCGCCCAGCCTCTGTGCGCCCCTCCTGGGCCACCATCCTGCTCGCCCGGCCCCGTCGCACCGGCCCGGCACCGTCGCACCGGCCCGGCCCCTGCGCTCGTCCCTGCCCCGGCCCCGGTCCTCCTCACTGGAACGGTTCCCCCCCCCCCCCCCCCCCCCCCCCCCCCCCCCCCGCCCTGCACTGCCCTGCACCGTACTGCCCCGCACTGCACCGCCCCGCACCACCCTGTACTGCCTGGCACCGCACTGCACCGCCCTACACCGCACTGCACCGCACTGCATCGCACTGTACCGCACGGCACCGCACTCCACCTTGCTGCACTGCCCTGCACCGCACTGCACTGTTCCTGATGGCGGCGGAGCTTCGCTTCGACGCTGAAGGCCAGCCTCTGGAGTTCGAGACGTGGCTTGCCGACCTCCGTCGCCAACTCACTGGCCAGCGGCAGGATGGTGAACCGCTCACCGCACACCTTGACGGTACGCTCCCCTGCCCAGGCCCCCCGGCTATTCTGCCCGCTGACTCCACACCCACTGAGCGCGAGTCCACTGCTGCCACTGCCCGTGCGCGCTCTGTCTGGCTTTCTCGCGATGCTGTCGCCCAGCTTGCCATCAGCAACGCCCTTCCCCCGTCCGAGCGCCCTCGCTTTAGGTCTCTCACCACTGCTCAGGCATACTTAGATGCTGTCATCCAGCGCTATTCCACCCCTCCGGCTGCCTCGGTGGGTCGCCTGATCCTCCCGATGCTCTTTCCTGACCTTGCATCTTTCCCCACTGTCTCTGACCTCGCTGCCCACCTGCGCTCGATAGATGAGACCTGGCGTGCAGCCTGCACTGATGCACAGCTTAGAGCCCACCAGCCGCCCATTACCTCTACCCTCTACCTGCTTGCCACCCGCCTCCCTGACCGCCTTGCTGTCGCCCGCGACCGCTTCCTTAGCATTCACCCCGCAGACCTCACCCTCACTGACTTTGTAGACACCCTGACTGTGATAGAGACCCGTCACCGCTCCATCGCCATGGCGAGCGTTGTCGTGCCGGTCCCTATCTTTCAGGGTTGTGCCCCCGCCCAGTGTACCTTCTCCGACGGCTCTGCCGCAATGGCTGAGACTGCTGCTGCAGCGCAGTTTCGTTCGGGGAAGGGCCGCCGCCCCAAGGTTGGGCGCGGCGGCGGCGGCGGCGGCGGCGGGGGTGCGGGAGGGGGTAGTGGTGGGGTCGGGTCGTCTGATGCTGGAGCGGACAAGGGGACCCTGCCCAGTCCAGCTGAGCCGCCGCCCCTGCAGTTGCAGCAGCCGCCGCAGTCGCAGCCTTCGCAGCAGCCGCAGCAGCCGTCGCAGACGCTGCAGACGAGTGTCCTCCCGCCCGGGTGGCCCGGCGCTGGCGGTGGCCGGGCGCGTGGTGGTGTGCCGAGTGGTGGCTCTGGTGGCGGGCGTTGTCAGTACCAGATCCAGACCGGTCCTCGCCGCGGTTTCGTTTGCGGTAGGCTCGGTCACTCCACTCCCCGCTGTTTTCGTCGCCTGGACGACCTCTTTCGTCAGCGCTTCGGCCCGTCGCCAGACCTCCCAGACTTGCACAGTTTGCTTAGTCGTAAGATTCAGATTTTTGATATGGACATGGATGCCATTGTTGCTGCTCTGCATGTGATGTATGCTGATGACTCTAGTGTGCTTCCCGTTTATTACTCACTGTTGCCTAGTGTAGGTGTGCCTAGCTTAGCCTCCCCTGCTGCGTCAGGCGTAGGACCCCCTGCTTTGTGTAGTCTTGGTGCTTCCGCCGTCGTTCCGTTGCCCGACGCCTCTGCTTCGCTTTCCTTCACCTTGGACTCTGGCGCTTCTCGGTGTTTCTTCCGCGACTCCACCACCCTGACGCCGCTTCCTGTCCCAGCTGCCGTCTCTCTTGCTGACCCCTCCGGCGGTCCGGTCGTCGCTCGCAGTTCCACCACCCTTCCCTGTCCGGCGGTTCCTTCGGGCTCTCTCACAGGTCTGCATATCCCCTCGTTCTCCAGGAACCTAGTTGGTGTCGGCTGCCTCCAGGACCTTGGCGTCACCACTACGTTCCCTGGTCACGAGCGGTATGCTGTCTGTACCGAGGCCGCCACTGGTGCCCCCCTGTCCACGTTCCCCCGGGACCCGGTGTCCGGCCTGTTCACTCTGGACACCGTGACCCCCCCGGCTGGGGCGCCTCCTCAGGTGGCTGCGTCTACCCAGGTTGCTGCTGCCTGCTCCTGTCGGTCCCTCACTCACCCGACTCTCCTTTTGCACCACCGCCTAGGTCACCCTGCGATCCCGCGTCTGCGTCACATGTCCCAGCACGGTCTCATCCTTGGTCTCCCAGGTTCCCTCCCCGCGTTTCCCTCCTCTCCAGCCCCACCTTGCACGCCTTGTGTTGAGGGTCGGCTTCGCCGTGCCCCGCACTCCTCCTCGTTTCCCCCTACCGCCGCGCCGCTGCAGACCCTGCACCTGGACGTCTGGGGCCCCGCCCCCATCCCTGGGCCGCGTCGAGAGCGCTACTTCCTTGTGCTTGTCGACGACTTCACTCGTTACACCACAGTCTTTCCCCTGGAGCGCAAGGCCGACGTGCCTGGCGCCCTCATCCCCTGGCTTGTCTCTGCGCGTGTCCACCGCGGTCTCCCTGTCTTGCGTCTTCACTCCGACCGTGGTGGCGAGTTTGCCTCAGGTGTCCTTGGTCGCTTTTGTCGTGCGGAGGGCATCACCCAGACGTTCACCCTACCGGACTCCCCACAGCAGAATGGGGTCGCTGAGCAACGCATCGGTTTGGTCATGGAGGTGGCTCGCACCTCCATGATCCATGCCGGTGCACCCCATTTTCTGTGGCCGTTCGCTGTGCGCTACGCTTCTCACCAGCTTAACTTGTGGCCGCACCCTCAGCAGCCGCAGGTTTCGCCGACTCGTCTTTGGACTGGGTCTCCTGGTGACGCGTCTGCGTTCCACGTCTGGGGCTGCCTTGCTCACGTTCGTGCCTCCGGCACGGACAAGCTCACTGCCCGCACCCTTCCCTGCGTCTTCCTCGGTTTTCCCCTTGACGCGTCCGACTGGCACTTTTACCACATGCCGTCTCACCGCTTCTTTCACTCTCGTGACGTCACCTTTGACGAGTCCGTCTCCTACTACCGTCGCTTCCCCCACCGTGGTCCCCCGGTGACCCCCCCCCTGTTCCTGGTCACTCCTTCCCCAGTAGTCCCTGCCCCTCCTCCTCCTCCTCCCCGTCCCGCCCCCTCTGGTGTGCCCCACGTCACCCCCCTTCTGTCGGTGGACCCGGTTGAGGAGTCTTCTGACTCTGGTGGTCCTCCTGTTCAGTCCTCGCCGGCCGCCCCTCCCCTGGCGTCCCCTCCCCAGTCCCCCCCTCCACCGTCTCTGCCGCCGCTGCAGCCGTCGTTGCCGCCGCCGCCGTCGCCGCCGCCGCCGTCGCAGCACCCGTTCGCTGACTCTGGGGGTGCTCATCCCGGTAGCCCTGGGGGTGGTCCCTCTGGGGGTGCTGGTGTGGAGAGTGCCGGTGGTAGCCGAGGAGCAGCTTGCGGTCCCGGTGTCGCCGTTGTGCCGCCGCAGCAGCAGTCCCCGCCGGTGTCAGCCGTTCGCCTGCTCGGCCTTCCGTCGCGCTTGCGCCTAAAGATCATCAGCGGCACTGTGTACAGCTTGGTCTAGTTCCTGTAGCCTCTCACTTGCTAGGACCTTGACTTTGTACTGTCCTTTATACGTATACTCAGACTGGACTTGTGGCCTCTCCCAGTGGCTGGACTAGTAGTGCCGCCCTGCTCTTGTTCTTGCCTTGTTTGTACTCCTTCTGACTGGTCTCTCAGACCCTTGTCTCAGAGGTTG